TTTGTGAGAAGCGAAGACAAATTGAGATAAACAGGGAACCAACTAAGAGGGGAAAAAAGAAAAAGAAAAAATCTCTGAGGCTTTGGCTGGTTACTCACTTAACTTGAGCTGTCGGCAGCAGCACTACCACAAAATAACACACCAAGGCGAGACCATTTATACTATGTACTCCTTCAGACTAAACTAAAGTGAAACCTGTGGGATTTCAGTTGGCTGCACAAATGGTAAACAAAGAGGAGTGTTAGCAAGGAGCCTATCCCCTGAGACTTCCTCAGTCATTGACCAGAATCAACTCCAGTACCAGACACTTTGTTGCAGCAGAATCACAGCATCCCCTCAGGACTGACTCAGAATCTGCTACTTTGAGGTCACGCCACTAAGCAATGCGTTATTGGATTCTCACCAGGCTTGCTTTGAAATAACGCCTTTGACGTGAGCCATAATGGTTGCCCTGGTTACTCTGCAAAAACTTGAAGGCTTTTGCGCAAAATCACTGAGTCTTTCCTAGAGCCTGCACAGCTACCTGGCGGGCGTCAAGAATGAGATAAAAGGCCTGATGTCTTCACACTGTGTCTGTTCCATTTGCAACTACTGAGTAGACGCTGCTTAGCTCTGCCTGTAGTCTGGCTGATCTTCTGAAAAGGCTTTTTCAAGACTCCAGTACAGCGTGCATGAACTTGCAATATTGTCTGTCAGAGCAAATTTTTCCTCCTCCAGTCTCGGGTATTTCAGCATCTGCTGTTCCTCAGCCTATTACAAGGCTCAGAGAAAACCAGAAGATCAGGGTATTTATGAAACATACTGACAATTTTAATACTCTAACTTCATATTTTCTCAACTAGGAGAGTGTGGTGGTTTGAATATGCTTGGCCCATGGGAAGAGTCACTCTTAGGAGGCCTTGTTGGGCCGGGCAGTGGTGGTGCACGTCTTTAATCCCAGCACTTGGGAGGCAGAGGCAATCGGATTTCTGAGTTCAAGGCCAGCCTGGTCTACAGAGTGAGTTCCAGAACAGCCAGGGCTGCATAGAGAAACCCTGTCTTGAAAAAAAAAAAGGCCTTGTCAGAGTAGGTGTGGCCTTGTTGGAGGAGGGCTGGCCTGTCACTGTCGAGGATGGGCTTTGATGTCCTATACTTAAGCTCTGCCCAGTGTGGAAAGGAAGTCTTCTCTTGGTTGCATGTAGAAGAGAGTCCCCCTCTATATGTCTTCACATCAAGATATAGAACTCTCAGCTTCCTCTCCAGCACCATGTCTGGCTGGATGCTGCCATGCTTCCTACCATGACGATAAAGGACTGAACCTCTGAACCTGTAAGTCAGCCCCAATTAAATATTGTCTTTTATAAAAGTTGCATTGATTATGGTGTCTGTTCACAGCAATGAAACCCTAAGTTTTTTTGTTTTGTTTTACTTTGTTTTCATTGCCCTTTCCCATGAATATCTATAGACATCTTTGGCTATTCACAACAGAACTGATACTGTCAGAGATGCAGCTCACCTTCCTACAGTGAGTAGAGCCCACCACCCCAGTCCAGCCCACAAGGTCTCTCGTACTGAGGTTTAATCATTGCTAAGTTAGTCTGACCTGCCATCACCCAAGCTGTTCATCAATAAAGCATTCTTCTTTTGTCATAGGTCACTCTATGTCCTGGTGATGTCGGCATCAGGAGACTCAGACATGTTCTCTGTCTATATTTATACAACAAAGTAGATCTTAACCCGACTCCTCTGGGTTCTACCAAGGAAGAAATTTTGCATTTTGTTCCTAGTGCCTGAATGCATGGGAGGTACTCAAATGCTTTCGAAGGAAATCAAGGAGAAAAGACAGTATAAGAGAAAAGTGAAAAATATTAGAGTCAAAATGGAGTGACTTGGGAGGCAGAGGCAGGCGGATTTCTGAGTTCCAGGCCAGCCTGGTCTACATAGTGAGTTCCAGGACAGCCAGGGCTACACAGAGAAACCCTGTCTCGAAAAACAAAACAAAACAAAACAAAATGGAGTGACTTGTACCAACTAATGCAAGCTTAAGCAAAGAAAGTAAATTAGGCCAGGAGGGTCTTGTGCGCATGCTTACTTGATAATAGCTACCTTAAGTAACTTTAGATTACAACCTTGCCTAGAGGCTGCTGTGGCATCATACAGAAGCCACTCCCACTGGACATCTGTCCAGCTCTTGTCTGTCCAACCTCATACTGTGACTGCCAGGTTTCAGCCTGTTCTAAGTTACTCCGTATTGTATAGAACAGTTGCTTTCAGGCTGTGCTTTGCCCGGAATGACTCCATAATATAAAATAATTCCAATTCTGAGGCTAAATTACTGCCTTTCTCTTGTCTGTGAAATATGAACCGTTAGACACAGACTGATAAATTATTTGCACAAACTATTACCATTAACAAATTAAATCAGAAATAAATGGACACATGGCTGTATCCAAACCACAAGCCTAAGCAACACATGAAGCAATCCGTCTCCTGGATCAAGAAAGATGGGCGCCCATCTTTGGGTTAGGAGGCATCAGACCATCACAGGATGAGCAGCAACGAACTTCCAGCTCCGTCTGTGGGATTTCAGGTCCGCATTGATCCCCTTCCTGACCTGATTCACTCAGGTTGCTATTTGTTGGAGTCCAATGAGTTTGGTTTGGAGCTCTGTGCTATCAAAGCCTTGTATCAGAACAGATCAGTGTCTGGGTTCTCTGTGTTGGTACCTTTTTTTACTTTGCTGCAGGGAATCTCTGCGTCTACACCAATTCCACTCTTTCCTTCATTGAGGCTCCTTTAAGGTCTTCGTCCTCTCTTTTAGTCATTTCATAACACACATATTCTATAACATATATTGTGTGTGCATATATCTATCCATACATATGTATGTATAGTGTAACTTGAGAGTTCATAACAGTAACTAGAATGAAACTGTTATTGCCAATGGCCAAGTAGTAGTTGATTAATTAAAGCCAGCAGAATTGATGTAACTTGTGAGCTCATCGTTCTAAAATAAAATCTAACATACAGAAAGGCATGGTCATTTATGTTTCTGAAGTAACTCGTTCACTGACATTGTCGGTGAAGTCAGGGAGAAAAGTATGGCTTCTCACCTCCACACTGTCTCTGAAATCAGCCTGAGAAATTCACCTAATTGGGAGTGGAGGAGTGTCCAGACTCAGGGAAAGATCAGGATTCGGGGCTTACATGTCCATACCACACACACACACACACACACACACACAGACACTCACACAGAGACATATCCACACACACTCTCACACACACACTAACACACACACTCAGACATGCACACAGACACACAAACACACGGACATGTACACACATATCTGTGAGTGCACAAGCTGGAACTGCAGGACAAACCAGCAGGAAGCCGACTCAGAGTTCGTTAAGAATAAGCCCAGTGCGGCAGCAGACACTTTAAGTCAAAGCACTCAGAAAGCAGAAGCAGGCAGATCTCTAAAAGTCTGAGGCCAACCTGGACCTACAAAAGGATAGCCAGGACTACACAGTGAGACCCTGTCTCAGGAAAAAAAAAAAAACAAAAAAACAAAAAAACAAAAAAACAAAACAACACGAAAAAAATGGAAGAATTCAAGGAATGAACAAGGTACAACCCCAGAGTGTGGGTGTGGGCTTCTCAAAAAAAGAGTTTATTAAAAGGCACATTTACCATAGATTTTTAAGTACAGGACTTAAGAGAAAGAAAGGTTTCCAAGGGAAAGAATAAAACAGACTAGTGTGGGCATGGGATTCTCAAGAGAGTCCCAGTTGAGTGTCTTAGCATTAACCTTATATACAAGTTCGGCAGCTCTCAAATTGCATCTCAAAAGACTATCTATGTGTGTGTGTGTAAAGGAGAGAGAGAGCAAAAGAGGGAGGGAGAGGGAGAGAGGGAGAGAGGGAGAGAGGGAGAGAGGGAGAG